CGTTGTGACACATGCAGTAATCTGACAGGGTATGCGATCACACCAAAAACAGGGGTAAGATATTTTACGAACGTTCACATGATAATGATAATAGAAATTCTACAAGGCGAAAATTTTTAGGAAAAAAAAAAAACAACCAAAAAAAACCACAAACCAATCATGGCCAAAAAATCATCAAGAAAGAAACGAGATGAATTGCTGGCCAAAAAATCAAAGCAACAGAATAAAAGCGTTTCAATCGCATTCAATGACTCTGATGAAGAACAACAACATGATGAGAGCAGAGATACTGAATCTGATGATGAGATGGCAGTTGATCGAACGAGTGATGAAATGAGTAGCAAGAGTGTTGAATATGAAGATCCAGATGAGGTGAATAAGAGTGAAAACGAAGACATCGATGAGATTGCACAACTCGAAAAAGAACTGATAAAAATCGAAGGAGAATTGCATGGACTGGACCCTGATTCTGAGACAGATGAGCATGATAAAGTTAAAAAGCCGCCAAAGAAAAAGCGCAAACCAGGTACGCTCTTTATGTAAAAGTATATACAACACCTGCACCGTGGAACACGGTCTCATCGTTGTTTCTGATCACTTATCTCCCGTTCCTCTCACCCTTTAAAGATCAACCAAAACAAACTAAAACCACGCCCAAACCCGCACCCACTCCGATCCCTAATCGCCAAGCGCGCTCTCCCTTACTAGCGCAGATAAAACAACTTTGGGAACAACTTCGCCAAAAGAACATCTCGCCATCCACTCGCTCGTCTCTACTCTCTAATTTGCTTCAAATGATTATGGGTAAAATCGGAGATTTAGTTCTCAAGCATGATGCATCGAGGGTTGTTCAAACGTTGTTGAAATTTGGGAGTAAAGAACAGAGGGGAGAGGTTGCAAAGGCGTTAAAAGGAAAATACGCGGAATTAGCAAAGAGCACTTATGGAAAGTTTCTGGTCTGCAAGATCTTGAAGTATTGGTGTGTAGTTTTTTTGTATTGTGATTGGCATTAGGTGACCATAGGGTAGGGAAAAAAATATGGGAGATTGGGGTGTGGGGTGGTAATGTGGTGGTGGTTAGAGTGCAAAAGACATGAAACTTCTCAGCAATAGGTATATATAAAACTGTTCATCTCTTCTAATTTCTGTTCTTATTTTTTCAACAGTCCGCAACACAGAGATGACATTATAAAAGAATTCTACGGTCAGGTTCGCAAATTAATAAAACATAAAGAAGCTTCTGAAGTCATAGAAGAAGCATATAGCGTGGGGAAGGCGACACATCGATCGGGATTAATGCAGGAATTCTATGGGCCGGAATTCGTCTTCTTCAAGGTTAGTACAAAAGGCATTCGCGATAACTGAGATTATTCGAGTTTAAACAATGACAATCTAATGTTATTGCCACTATCTTCCGGCACGCTTTTACTAATTACTTGTCTGCTCTTTGGTTTCCGGACTTGCTCTACTCCTTTTCTTCAATCATTTATCAGACGCCAACACCACAAACACTTTCGGAAATCCTCTCTGCCTCCCCGCATAAAAAAGACATTATTCTCAAGAATCTCGCCCAATCTATATCCAGCATATTAGACAAGGGAACTATCAAACATAGTATTACTCACCGTGCCTTGCTGGATTATTTCACCAACGCTAATGAAAAGCAACTCGCTGATATGATTGTTATGGTTGGCGAGAAGGTACCAGAAATATTGCATACTCGTGAAGGATCAAAGGTCGCCATGCTGTGCGTCGCGCACGGAACCCCTAAGGTATGAAAGCGAGGGACGGTTATAACTGACTGAAATATGCATATTAACTATTATTTACTTTTGTTGTTGCTATTCTTCAGAATCGAAAAGTCATAATAAAAAGCATGAAGACATACATCAATAAGATATGCTGCGATGAATACGGACATTTGGTTCTATTGACTGTCTTTGATGCTGTCGATGATACAACGCTAGTAGAAAATTCAATTATAAAAGTAACAACCATAATCACTAGATTCGATTTGTTAAGTGATTGTATGTCCATTTATCTAATGGGGACTATTGATTTAATAATTAGGAAATTGGAAAGAATCTCCAACAGATAATAGAAGATAAATACGGCCATAGAGTAATTCTTTATTTACTCGTTGGGCGATCTCAAATAATATTGAGCAAAGGAAATATTGAATTGTTAGCATCAATGGATGAAATACGCGCCAAGACAAGGTAAGCATTTTGATTAATAATAACACTCACGCATTCTATTCCTTCCGTCACAATGTTCACGTCCCGTATCTTTTCCCGTTATGACTCACTAAAACACCCAAAGCAAAAAACCACCTCATGTTCGCAGCCAAGAACTTTTAAAGGCGATATCCTCACACTTGATTCCTTATTGTGAATCGAATACACAGAGCCTACTTTCTCATCATTTTGGCACGCAAGTACTCTGCGAGACAATGCTCCATGCTCAGGGCGACAAAACACAAACCCTTCTCAACATTGCCACTCTTGCCCGCGGTTCCCCTCGCACAAACCCAGACCACATAATGCTCTCCATGGTCAATCGTACATTAAAAACACTCGTACAAGGTGGACACTATAGAGTTTTGAAGAAGGACAAATCTACTGAGAAAGTGGGATTACACTTTGGAAAGATGTTGATGGATGCAATACGTGAACATTTGGTAACATATGCAAAAGGCGCTACTAGTTCTTTCGTTATATTAGCCCTCTTGCACGATGAGGATGTTGGTGAAGAGGTTAGGCAGACTATAATTGAGAATGCAGAGGACTTGAGAAATCATGCAAGTGAACTTGGAGTCAAGTTATTGTTGGAAGAGACCGGGGCTGAAGTGGCAAAACCGCATCAGGATGACAAACAAGTTGGAGCAAATAAAACAAAGACAAGTGGTGTTAATACTAGAAGCAAGAGGAGAAACACGGGAAAATAGGCGAAGCGACTGAATGGCGATAAAAGATTAGAATCAGAAAAGAAGAATGAGAAACCAAGAGAACCGGGAGGCGTCATGTGAATACGTGTAATATTAATGTTAATAAAGGTTAACAATATCATTTATTACAATGGACTATTACTATCAGTCTCGATTCATTTTGATACATCTAATTTATTAATAAATATGTCGTTTTTTGTCACTCAACCTGTATATAATCTTTGATTCATGTATGGGGCAGATGCAGTAAAAAACGAAAAGTGAAGATAACGCTGAATTATGCAATTGGACGTGCATATCGTATGGTACCATTGTCATGTCATTATTTACTCGTGAATATCGTTCCTCCATCGCTATCAAAATTCAAATAAGAAAAGGAATTCGGAACTCTTGATTGACGGGCAAACACGGTTGAGCCAGGTTATAAAATGTCTTGACGGATACATCATTATTGTTACGCGTTGATATGGATATGTTGTAATCATTTTTATGCCATGTTTGTGGAAAAATTTTTATTGAAAAGACATTCAGAGGAATACTTTGCCCAGTGCAAAGAGATACAAAAAAGAGGATGCAACGATCTCTCAAGCGAGAAACTAGATTTGATTTGGATAATTTAAATTAGGTAATTCTTCTGCCAATTTATTCTTACACCTTTGTATTCGATAAATTGAAATTCTCTTGCCTACCCCTTCCAATTGCTTGTAGACCGCAAATGACATCCTCATATACAACAAGTTTCATCTTCTGATTCGGTTCAACTTCCTCAACAAACACCCCCCCCCCCCCGGTCCTAACATTCCGATAAGATAAATAGTGCTAACATTCTTTAAATAACTTCTAAAACATAAGTCTCATTGTTTATTATCTTCAGTCATTGTATTATCTTCAGTCATTGTATTATCTTCGGCCATTGTATTATCTTCAGTCATTTTATTATCTTCTTCCGTCTCGTTCCCCTCTTTAACCTTGCCATCCTCTGCCATTTTATTATCTTCAGTTGCCTCGTGAACAAGATGGCTCTCTTTAACGGGTGATGAACTATGACTCTGAGCAGACATCGCATTGGCGTGAGGAACTGTTTCGGGGGAAGGATGCTGTGAGCCAACCGGTCCTTGAGCTTTTCCGGCTTTCGTTAGAGCATAGTCACCGGAATCAAAGTATTTACGCTCCTAAATTGGATGAAATAATTAGTGTCTTGAAAATTTTCACATTAACATAGTTTCTCCAAGCGGATCTCCAAAGTGTACCTTCAATCTGTGACTCAAAACCGTCTTTTGTGCTGGTAGTCTACCATAGAGGCGGAATAGCTTTTGTTCCTCTGGGGACAGCAACTATAGTTCAAATATAGCCAATGAGCGATATACGATATATGACAATGAAGAATCTCCGGATACAAGAACAATTAATAATACACTTACGTTAAGGTCAATCTTCTTCTTTTGGACAGGTAGCATAGTGCTTATGTATTTGAAAAAGTAGACGGGCAAGAAGAAAACGTGTAGCAAGACACCACTTTAAAACACCAGGTTTTGAAGCCAGTACGTGGGAATGAGCTATGACTATATCTACTTTATACTGTAGGGTTAGTGGGCTGATCGAGTACCCTGATTTTCGCCCAATCACGGGGACCGTTAGACAACGACAATTTTTTTTTTTTTATTATTATTATAGTCAATAATCACTTTTTTCGACACTTTTATGGTCGTACAAGCATATTCTGAATATTAATATATTAATATAATTCCGGGCGTCTTTTGCCTAAATTACTGAGCTTGTAGTCAAAACCATTCGTATTGCTCCAGTTACTGGTGAATGTTGTCATTAGTTATCTTAATATTAGAGATTGTTTCTATCTTGGTAAATGAATCGGATCATTTATTTGGTATAGCATTAATCAGTGTTCGCCATTCGATCTGCTAGTAGTAATATTTCATTGGAATTAATTTAACAGCTGATATCAGTTCTGGTGTTTCTATCGTTGTAAGTGAATCGGGCCATTCCTTGGCGTATGATGCTCATTATTATTACTATCTCTGTAAGCGAATCAGACTATGACATTGAACAATGTTAGCAGTATGATGTTTATTATATTATTGTCCGTTAACAGTCGTATGATGCTTATTGATGAATTTTGGTATGGCATTATTCGAAACATTAAGTAATATGTGCATTAGTTAGAGAATAAGAGTGGCGGCGACGGTATTGTAGTATCGATCTATTGATAACCAACAATTGGATATTAATGGCGATGTCATATTCAATATTATTTATCAGATTAACTAATGAAAATTTATTATGCCATTGTGCATCCAAACTACATTTTTCAGTTCTCACAGTCCTACAATCTTAAATTTATTCGTTTAGAACATAATTTTACTCAACATTCTAGATCCTACAGCTTGCCATATTTTACTTTTTCCGTCATCATCTGATAGCAGTCGTATGACACTTATTATTATTTCTACCATTGTAGTAAATCAGGCCATTTCTTAGTATGACATTGGCATATTCGCTGAAAGGAATCATACGAGCTTTTTTGCATGTCTGTTAGAATGTGACCATTTAACAGATGAAAAACTTAGTTTTAAATCTACTTCCATTGATCTCAACATTGAAGAATCTCTGTTAACCCGAAGTAAATGTTTATCCGATGATGCACCTGAAGTCTTTGATTTGACCGAAGATAAGAATGGTGATGATGTAGAACCTGACGGTTTAATAGTGGATGGGAGAGCAACAACGAATCAGGATGACTCCGCAGGGGACGGCCGTTTGATACTGTATGCAAATGCAGCACCGTTTCTTGAATTACGGAAAGAAATTGTAAAAGACAACAACGAACACAATACCTTACCTGCATATGCGGTTTACAGTCGCTCCCCGATGCCGAACAATGCTTCAGGAATCCCCAGAGTTGAAGCAGTATTTCATACGGCAATGGTGGTTATGTATTTTTATGGGGGAATATTAATAGGCGAATTGCTGAACGTACTCGAAGAACAACTGAAGTACAGCATAAAATATTAAAGACATTCGACATTATCCAAAGAAATTTGGATATCGATGAATATCTCCAGCGTGCGAATTGGCTGAAAAACTGTTGTTCAAGCAATGGTCAAAGAATACGATAAAACTGGATGATTCCAAGTCGGAGTTTCTCGAAGGCTTCAAGAAAGTTTATAACTCCTGTAAAACAACTCAGATACGAAGTGCAATGGAGATTAGCCTGATTCATTTGCAACGGTAGGAATATCAATAAGCATCATATGACTGTTAACAGACAATGCGAAGTTTAATGTTGTAGCCTGATTCACTTACAACGATAATAAACATCATACGACTGCTAACAGATAATGCAAATATTGTTCAATGTCATAGTTTCGCTTACAACGACTAGCAGATCGAATGGTCACTTTCAGCTAACACTGATTAATGCTATATATACCAAATAAATGATCCGATTCATTTAACAATCTCTAATATTAAGATAACTAATAACAACATTCACCAGTAACTGAAGTAATACGAACGGTTTTGACTACAAGCTCAAAATAGTGTAATTGGGCAAAAGCGAGTTCTTATTTAAACGAAAGACGTCCGGAATTTGTACTGGTTATATTGATGAAGATCAACCCATATTCAGAATATGCCGTACGACCATAAAAGTGTCGGAAAAAATAATTTTTTTTTGTTACCTGAGAGTTTCCTGATCAGCAACCCAGGATACAATGGTCAAAAAAGTAATAGACTCTCGCATTCACACTCTCGTCAAGAACGGGGTTCAGAACAAGCATAGAACATTCTTCGTTATCGTTGGTGATAAGGGCAGGGATCAGGTGTTGTATTGTGACAGCCTACCTACCGTTACATACTGTACATACTGACAGCTAAGTACTAACCATAACAACCTTGGTGGAATTAGATAGTGAACTTGCATTGGTTGCTTTCTCAAGCAAAAGTTGCAGCACGGCCTTCAGTATTATGGTGTTATAAGAAGGAATTAGGTTTTAGCAGGCAAGTCATTCGCTCGATCTTGTATGCAGCCTGATCCATGTTGCGATAGTTAATGATTCTAATTCGACCTGTTCCAACAATAGTCACCGCAAGAAACGTGAGGCTAAAATTCGAAGAGAGATCAAGCGTGGAGTTCGTGAGGCAAATGAAGAAGATCCGTTCGAGCTTTTCATAACAGTCACGAATATACGATATACATACTACAAGGAGACCGACAAGATCCTTGGTAACACGTACGGAATGTGCGTGCTTCAGGTAACTTTGCGTGATGCCAAGTTCTTGCTTTAACAGCATCGAGATTTATATTTTATTGTTTTGTTCGTTTAGGATTTTGAAGCCTTGACACCAAACTTGCTAGCTCGTACTATTGAGACAGTGGAAGGTGGTGGAATTGTAGTTTTATTGCTAAAGACGATGAAATCATTAAAGCAGTTGTACACATTGACAATGGTGAGAGTTCTGATCAATATTGCGCACAATTGGTTATTTATGCTTTTTTTTCCCCTCTAATAACTATTGATGCGCTCCCACTCTATGTAGGATGTTCATGCCCGATACCGCACCGAGTCACACAACGATGTCATCGCTCGATTCAACGAACGCTTTATTTTGTCAGTAGGAGCTTGCGAGAACTGCTTAGTGGTTGACGATGAATTAAATGTACTACCAATATCAGCTGGCAAGAATGTCAAGCCTCTTCCTCCAAAACCGCCGGAGGAGAGCTTGACGGAATCTCAACTTGAACTTCGAGATCTCAAGGCTTCTCTTGCTGATACACAACCTGCTGGAGCTCTGGTTGGAGCAGCTCGTACTCTCGATCAAGCAAGAGCGATTCTAACATTCATTGAGGCCATATCTGAGAAAACTCTTCGTACGACTGTGAGTCTTACTGCTGCGCGTGGACGTGGCAAATCGGCAGGGCTGGGTATTGCTATTGCGTCCGCCGTGGCATTTGGATATTCTAACATCTTTGTGACTTCTCCAAGTCCTGAAAATTTAAAAACTTTATTCGAGTTTGTGTTCAAAGGGTTTGATGCTTTAAAATATGAGGAGCATTTAGATTATGATATTGTACAGTCTACAAACCCAGACTTTAATAAAGCAATTGTGAGAGTGAATATTTTTAGACAGCATAGACAGACTATTCAAGTGAGTTTTTTGGTTTTGGGATTGTGTCTGTTGTATTAACATTTGGGAATGCTGGTCTTTCTGTGACTCAATTCCTCATGTTTATTTTGCGTCTATTTTCTATGGTGAATTGTCGTGCTTAGTATATTCGACCACAAGATGCGCATATGCTTAGTCAAGCGGAACTGGTTGTTATCGACGAGGCTGCTGCTATTCCTTTACCACTTGTGAAGAATTTATTGGGTCCATATCTCGTCTTTCTGGCATCGACTATTAATGGGTATGAAGGTACCGGACGATCGCTTTCTCTCAAGTTGATACAGAATTTACGCGAACAATCGCGAGGGTTCGTTGGAAAAGAAGGCGGAGCTAAGAACCTAGACGATGTCATAGTTGTTAATCGTAGCGGGAAAGGAAAGAATACTTCGTCCACGACTTTAAACGGAACCACAACGGGTGGGCGAGTACTCCGCGAAATCAAACTGGATGAACCCATTCGTTATGGCGTCAACGATCCGATTGAAAAATGGCTAAATAAACTGTTGTGTTTAGATGCAAACGTTGTATCAAAAAACATAGAAGGATGCCCACATCCTGATCAGTGCGAGCTATATTATGTCAACCGCGACACTTTATTCTCTTTTCACCCCGTTTCCGAGACATTTTTGCAGCGGATGATAGGGTTGTACGTAGCAAGCCATTATAAGAACTCCCCAAACGATTTGCAGCTGATGTCGGACGCACCAGCGCATCATTTGTTTGTGTTGCTGCCGCCTATACGTGATGGAGATAATTCATTGCCTGACCCTCTCTGCGTCGTTCAGGTAGCGAGGAAGACAAAATTTCTTGGATTGTTGTCTTGCGACAAGTCTGCTTTAAGATACGAAAAGACAAAAGTGACGTTATATTATTTGCCCTAGGTTTGTTTAGAAGGTGAGATTTCGAAGGAAGTAGTTCTTAAAAGTTTAAGTCGAGGTCAGCGCGCAAGCGGGGATCTTATACCGTGGATTATATCCCAGCAGGTATTGACAGAATTGCTTTTGTGTTGTGATGTGCGTCGTCTGCTTACTCACAAAAGTTTAATCGAATTGGTTTTAGTACCAAGATGATGATTTCGCTAGTCTATCCGGAGCACGAATAGTAAGAATTGCAACTCATCCTGATTATATCAAGGTAAAATTCTCAATAGTTTGCCCGCACGCAAGTAGATTGGTTGACAGTCTACCGTATCTGATGAATGGTTATGTTAAACTGTGGGATATCTCACGTCATTAAACATGCCTATAATATTTCAACTTTAGATGGGGTATGGATCACGATGTTTGGAGTTATTATGTGCATTTTATCAAGGTGAATTTGCTGCTTTAAACGAGAATGACGAATACGTGGATGAAAGTATTGTTCGAGTAAACGATGATGAACTAGAGGTATGATATTATAAGTGCATGCGCTTCTTACAAGTGACATTCTAACATTTCTATTCATTCTCAAAGAATGCAGATCTGCGCTCGGACGAAATTAAAATTAGAGATCCTCAAAAGATGCCACCACTTCTTCTCAAGCTCTCAGAAAAACGGCCTGATAGACTACACTACATTGGTGTCTCGTATGGTCTAACTCCCGCATTGCACAAATTCTGGAAACGTGCGGACTTTGTTCCGCTTTATCTTCGTCAGACTCCTAACGATCTTACAGGAGAACACACTTGCGTCATGTTAAAGGCCTTGAAGTCAGACGATTTGGTCACATCTTGCGATCCCAACTGGCTTTCAGCATTTGCAAGAGACTTTCACAGGCGTATCTTGAATTTACTTTCGTATCAATTCAGTACCTACCCCACAGTTCTTGCACTTAGCATAATGGAGGCTACCAACAAAGTGATAAGAGATGGTGATCGATCGAGAGGTATGTACCCCTTAAACACGTTATCCTTTGTATTTATATGCATCTTTGCTCTCACTAATTAATTGGTGGCTTGCTCATAGTCTTAAACAAGAACGAGCTGGACAGTCTTTATTCGTCATATGACTTGAAACGTCTTGATCGTTATGCGAAGAATTTATTAGATTATCATGTGATTATCGACTTGATTCCGAATATTGCGTTCTTGTACTTTGAAGGACGTTTTGGTGAAAGCGTAAAACTATCTGGCATACAGAGCTCTCTACTTGCGGGAATTGGGCTGCAAAAAAAGACGATTGACAAATTAGAGGTGAGATGATTTACTGGCCTCATTACAATTGATTACAGCAGACTGATTCTTTCTGCTTTGTGTATGTACAGGAGGAACTTGCATTGCCAGCCAGCCAGCTATTGGCCCTGTTTACGAAAATGATCAGAAAGGTTTCGACATTCTTTACTGACGCAGAAAAGGCCGCAGTAGAGGCCGATATTCCCCACGAACAGACAAAGGTAAAAAAAAAAGTTGCACTGCCAACGGAACCAAACTCGACGCCTAAAATTGTAAATTACAGTGACGATTGGGAGCCGTATGGACAGTCTTTGGAGGATGACCTTGAGGAAGCTGGAAACGAGGCCATGAGCGAAGTACGTGAAAAACAAAGAGAACTCTTAAGTTCGTTAGATTTGTCAAAGTAAGGGCATTGGGAATGTTTGTGCAGTTTTCGCATCATATCTGTGAATCGTCCACAAACCGTTGTTCGCTATCCTAAATAACATCATAGGTACGCAATTGACGAGTCAGTTGAAGGCTGGGAAACAGCAGAATTGCAGATTGCAGCAGCTTCATCAGGAAAAAAGTCTAACGCTTCGACCGTAGTTAGTGTCAAGAGTAAAGATTCAACAAAGAAGCGAAAGACGAACGAAACAGCCGCCGACATAGTCGCGAAGGAGGCGAAAGGTGCTAGTAATCAGAAGAAAGCTAAAAAGAAGCATAAGAAAGCATGACAATAAACTGTAAATATCACGCATCATGACGAATGATGGAAATGATCCATCCCTGTCAAAATGCAAAGCCCATATTATTATACTGTCCATTAAGATTCACATAAAAAAGCGTTGGAGATTGGCCAGAAGCCAAATTCCAAATTCGTGCTATAATAATGAGAATGAGGTGAATCAGTAATTGGAAGAAGGCAGGAAGCCTATTGATCTTCTCCAGCATTCTCGCTGCATACTCGATGCTTCTATGGGCATTCTGTTGCTTGTTTTTGGTTTTCGTGTGTTTTTCCCTTGTAAAACTTCCTGACTGAATTTGTATTAAAATGTTTCCAAATTTGAAACGTCGATCGGTTTAAATTTATCATTAAACTGGAGCGGCTGAAGGGTTATTTTGTTGTTAAGCTATGCATTTTATTCGAGTTAACGCAGAAACTTGATTATTAAATTCGTCATGCGAAATCTAGTACTGCTATTACTATCTAACAGACGATGCTCACGTCTTCTAGACTCTTCGTTAATATTCAATAATTACCTAAAATATTAATACTAAATAAAATTAACAAATTTATTCGCATATCCGGGACAGTACCATCTTTTCATCTCTCCTAATAGTCCTAATAAGGCTCATAACTACTAACAATGATAGCACGTTATTTTCACTCAAATTGAGTTTCTCTAGTTTCTATTTATCGGATCTAACAACCGTGGCAAGAATTGATGTATTAAGCTTTGGGGATTCAGCATCTTAGCAGTTTTTTGATACCATTAATTTCTTTAACAGTAAAAGTGCGTATTGTTCGAGTCAATAAGGAACGTTTATTCAGCCAACAATAACGACCTCAATTCGTTCTTATTGCCAAAAAATTTTTTTTCTCGTTCCTAATTAAGTTACCTTTGGCTTTTACAAAACTTTATATTACAGTCGCATGACCATTATGATCGTCTGCACCAATCGTTTCCACTTAATATACCGTAATAATTGTCCCGATAATGATATGAATGGCATTATAAAATTCAAGAACGACTAGCGCCTTGAATATTCCAATTCACATTGGAGTAATAGTTAATATGCATTGCCTTCACATGCTCCCCTTGCAATTAATTCCAATGCCTATGCCCGATCAATTGAATGATTATGTGGCTTGGAAGAGTAGATTGTACTATTTCTATGCAATAAGAAATAAGTTAAAGTGGATGAGATATCTAAATAATGTATGGCAGTTTGGAAGTGAATTCAACTCGATTAATGTGAGTGCTGACGCCAATTCACCGAAACAGGTATTAGCTGATGATGGATGTGTTATTAAATGACATATGTTAGTTTACCGTGCGAATGGCAATAATCCTTTATTCCAAAGGCGATATTTACCTAAGTCGGGTTGTTTCTCCATTGGACGTAACAACGTCAAAGTTCAGGTCAGGTGGCATCTTCAATGCAGCGATTACCTCGGCCATCGGATCGGCAGTCTGTGGATATGCCGGTCGCTGCTGTTGTGGCAAAGAGATATTATCCGATAACGTGGGTTTCCTCTGCATCACCAAATGAAGGTAGATCGGTATTATATGACATGTTGTTATCAATTTAAAAATAATGGGAGACATAAAATGAAATAAGTGTTGGTTTTTAATATTATACCTTCACTTTGAAGTTAGCATCATCAAATTGAGAGTCGCTTGAAGACTCTACTTTAGATACGTCGTTCTTCTGGCCTGTTTGTTCTTCTAACCGAAGAGCAGCGGCAACTTCCGACATTTGCGTTTTAATCTTCTCCGGCTGCAAAGTAGCAATAATTTATTAACAAGGAAGCTGATAAGGCCTCAATTGATGCTTGAGCGAGTTCAAACTTACGTCAACTTTCCCGCTACGCATTTCAGTAACTCCAATATGCCCAGTGTGCTATCAAGCATAAATACGTCATGTAAACATCAGCCAAGATACATTTAAACTTTCATACATGCATACATTCTCTTGCTTTTCCCATATAATTCTCTCTCTTTCTTTACCTGGAAATTTGATGGCAAACCAATTATTCCCTTGTGAATCTTCTTCTTCCCTTTCCTGACAACTCTAGCATTGGCAGCAGGAGAACGAATTTGACTTGATACTCCGTTATGGAAACTGTTGTTCTGTTTCTGCTTTGCCGAGCGTCTAGAGCTTTGCCCTTTTACTGCCGAGACACAGCTTCCCATTATCAATATTAAAAAATGTATGTATAGAATATGAGGAAATAAGAGAGGATAAATACAAGAACATGGAATGTTGGCCGTATATTCCCCTTTCAACTGTTACATTTATCATGTGATTCATTTCTAACCAGCGAGGAAATCAAGGGAGACAACAACAGTCGATCCAACCTTCTGTAATTCGATGGGGGAATTGAATGATCGACTGTGTTTCAATTTAAAATTACATATATAGTATCCCGTGATATGGATACAACATACGAAGTTCAACGCCCAAATGCAAGCATTATCGACGTAATTGGAGCAATCAATAAAGGGTTGGGTCGAGGATTTTCTCGCCAATCAAAATAGTTATGATTTTTAATTATTATGTATGAACATAATTGAAAATCGATATAACGAAAGCCTGGTATTTTAGTATAGACAAATTGCGAGCATTCTAACTTTTTATGTGGGGGCGCAACTATAACACTAACTTGGACATGATGTCCGTACGGAGATGGACGATGAATCAAGTCAAAAAGAAGGGGGTTTCGAATAAGACAGAACTCGTTGCGTAATTAAGATCTTCGACATTCGGCAATTGTCTGCGTTCTGATCGTTGTTCGTTCAATCCTTATCGTTCGAAGAATGGAAATAAAATAATCCACTTGATTAAGTTATACAGCATACAGTATAATGACCGTTTGGCTGTACGGTCCACTGTTCTTCGCATCGTATGTTGACAAAAATAGAAACCTACCACAAGTATCTTATACTGTATATACAGTGGTCCGTGATTTTTGCCGATCATTATGAAACCCTCTTATTTTTTGATGCCCATTGACATCGCAAGGGTATTAGAACTCCATACAGTACCGTATGAATAAATACATCACAAAGCCACTCATTCATCTCTTTTATATCCTAGTCTTTGCTCTTCATCAACACTTTAACGTTCACATCCATCATAACGGATTTATTAATAAATTCGCTACATATATTTTACTATAACCAGATTATTAATCACAAATTCACTTCTATCGATTCAAAAGAATGATGCAATTGTCATGGGAGAAATTTGCGAGGAATACTTCTGCTTTTCAGAAAGACGACTTGGTAGGTAGCCCAAGTTAATATTTGAACTCTAGTTAATGTTGGGTAGATTTCTTTTATACATTGTTCGAGTATTTTTATGTACTTGACAGCCATAGCTTTTCCCTCAAGCAACACCACAGACTCATTCTAAAGATTCATTAAATTCTTTGGTGAGCCGTTCAACTGCCGCAGCACGATCTTTCTTCATGTCTTATTGGTTGGCCTCTACGCCTATATTAAAACCTATCATTACTAATAAATTAGGAATAACAAGTCCTGTCAGGGAATAGGCTCCCGCGTCAGC